ATTTCATACAGCTGTAAAAAATGAATTGTAAATATTCAGAGAGACAAGCGGCAGTGTTATCCAACAAAAACCACTAGGTTGTGCTCTGAACATTTTGAAGAAGAATGCTCCGATAGAACAGGTCAAAATATATGATGGAGTGATAATGCTTTTCTCATTGAACTTTCATTTCTTTAAAGGTATATTATCATTATGATTTAGCAGTATGCTGTTCCAATTATCCGTTTGTTTGGAATTAAGCACAAAGCTACACAACGGGCTATCTGTGCTCTGCCCACCACGGGTATCAAAACCCGGTTTCTAGCGTTGTAAGTCCGCAGACATACCGCTGTGCCACTGGGGGGCACTAATTATCCAACTATTTCTTTAGACTGTTGACATTGTATTCTAAGAAAACTCCTGTTGATGTTCAGCTTTCTATTTGTGTTTGAATTTGTTACTACATGACGTTTTGTAAATGATGAAGGCTTTTGCTAGATACATTTTGCTATAACAAAGCAAATTAAATGAAATAAACTGATATCAAGCATAAGTATACAAGTACTATCAAGAAACTAATCAAAATAAAATTATTCTTATATCTGAAAACTAATACCCATTGAAATCTATTGTGTGTATGATTAAGAGCATAACATGATAATGAAATCAGTGAAAACATATTTAAAATTTACGAAGCAGTTATGATACCACCGCTATTTTTTAAGAAGATACATCTGTTTGTAAGCCAAAACAGTGGTACTCGTTGCTATGTTTGTGTATACAAACAAACTATAATTTTCTTCTTTAGTGGTACTACAGCATTTCTGTAAACGTTAATAGTAAATACGAAATATGTATTAATTATAACAGTCAAACAATAAAACAGGTTGTACATATAATGAAGTACTTATTTAAAAAGGAAAAGGTTTTAGTAAATTATCCATTCAATCATATGTTGCACAAAAATACATCAGACACATCTGAATGACCTTTCAATGTTGCTCCAGCTTCACTTACTTCAAGTACAACATTTGTACTTCTAGATCAGGCACATCTGAACGACCTTTCAATGTTGCTCCAGCTTCACTTACTTCAAGTACAACATCTGTACTTCTAGATCAGGCACATCTGAACGACCTTTCAATGTTGCTCCAGCTTCACTTACTTCAAGTACAACATCTGTACTTCTAGATCAGGCACATCTGAATGACTTTTCAATGTTGCTCCAGCTTCATTTACTTCAAGTACAACATCTGTACTTCTAGATCATAGCTATCGTTTGAGTGACAGTCCTGCAACTATAAAAAATAAGAATGCACAAAAGAGTTGATCATTTGAACACAGCTAAGATAAAATTAAAGTTTTCACAACAGCAACAAAAACAAAACAAACAGGCATTTGAAACGAACTGTTATTTCATTAAATGTGATTGTGGAAGCTCTGAAATAAGAACAATTAATATCCAACAATGGTTTTGATAAGCTGAACAGCACCTTTCTTGATACCCCCTTTAGGAATCTTTAAAAGGGCTTATTAACAGAAAAATAAGCTGACACACAAAGCAAATCATCAGCTTTTGTGGTCTTTTCCCTTGACATTGCAGTTTTACTCCACCGATTTTGAAATATGTACTGCTCTACTACATTCACCTGTAGTATCAAAACCTTAATGAAGCACACGCCTTTACACAAGAAGCATTTTTAATACATTACAACAAGTGAAATAAAAAAAGAGAAAAGGAAAAAAAAACAGTAAAATTATTTGTGCTTCAATACTAGATTATATTGCCATAAGAAAACGCGTGGAGTGGAAAGAACTTTTTTGGCTATGTTGATGTCAGTACAGATACAGAGGACGATACAACTCTTGCCAATGATGTACACGTGTTTATGGATGTTTCTCTAAACAGGAACTGAATGGTGCCTGTTGGTTATTATTATCTGATGGCATGACAAGGCATAAAAATATGCATACAAAACGTTTGGATGTTTAGGATTACAACCGTAACACTTGTTTGTGTGGTCCAAGTTGTGAAAGAACTGCATGTCAATATGTTGCCAGAAAACTTGCTTCTGTGGTTTTTACACTCTAGCAAAGAAAAATACAAAATGTTTTCATGCTTTATACATGTCACATGCTAAAAACTTTGTTCATAACACTTTTGCACATGATAAAGTTTTAAAAAGTGGAGATGATAAATATATTAAATGGCGATTTGTTACTCATTCGGATAAATTGCACGAACAAGCAGTATTACACTTAGAAAATTAATTAAAATAAATGCACATTGAATGGCAGAAGCAAAAAATATAAGTTAACTTTACGGAAAAAAAACCTTAAGTTCAAGCGTGACAGATGCCCTGGAATTTTTGCAAGAAAGATTAAACTTACCCAAATTTAAGGGAAATGAGCTTGCAGTTACATTTATTGGAACATTTGATAGACTACTTGCTTTTGATGCTTGGAGACGGCTTGAATGGGTAATGAAGAAAAACTTTAATATAAGTTTAACATAACCTGATGATAACAAAACCTTGTCGAAACGTTGTACATTTACAGTTATGTTAAACTTATATTAAAGTTTTTTCATTACCCATTCAAGCCGACTCCAAGCATTATTAGTCTCAAAGTGGGTTCCTCGTCATCGAATTCGAATCAGACTCCTTGCTTTGTTCAACTCCGGAAATCCGTTAGTTAAAGATTACAAGAGTTTAATGAGAATTTTGAAGTATTAATTTTGGAAACCTTTACTAATAGAGACAGAAAATTATTTTTTTTTTCAGTTAATAGACATAACCGGGCAAAGAATGTATGAAACTTGACGTAAAATGTCATTTATCTGGTTTATAACTGCAATCAAGTCGGTGCAGTAATTTTGTGAAACTTTACTGTAAATATTTTCATCCACCCAAGTATCTTTTAACAAATAAATAAGCCAGAATCAATCGGAACTCTTTTTTTTGTTTTGTTTTTGCTGCTGTTAGTAATCTTGCGGCTAATATTAATCACTACTATTCGACAGTTTACAGCTGCATATAAAAGATTGCTCATGCATAATGGAATACAATCAGCAGGAAACTGCACTACCTAGGATGAAACATTAGTTTCATCTGTCACAGAAGGTCAGATGGCACTTCCCAGTGGCTCTGCAGATGTGTTAGACATCTGTGTGATACGCAGGTATGATATTGCGCTATGCGAGCCTATGCAGGATGATCATGACTGAGAAGATGCAACAAATTACACACCCCTTTCTTCCTATAATGAAACAGCCGTTGGATACATGGTTAGTTATGTAGTCAAAACGGCACAAAATGCATTGTACTGACTCTCTGGAGGCCTTGAAATATGAAAATTCTCGAACTTGTCAATTTAACAACCTATTGATGGTTTGATAAAGGCATAAACAAGTACAATCAAAGTATAGAATAAAAAAAATTACAACAGTGAAAGTTTATAGAGTGCTGCTTTACAAATGTATATAGCATATTTTATAAGTTATAGCATCATATGGAAATATATGCATATAGATATTATAATGTGACGTAACCTAATTCAGTAGTACATTTACTTTATTAGCCTACTTATGTAAATATATATACATAGTATTCAAAATAACACTTATGCTGTATTGAAAAACAGTCAAATACAACACTTTGTTTTGTGCTATTTCAGTTTTAACACTTATATTTTATACTTTTTACTTTACCATAGACTTGTATAAGCTTATAATGAAATTTGTTACTATATTCTTAATAGTATAGCAGACCACAATAAAATCAATTTAGACCAACACAATATTATAAGTTATTGTTCTCTCTATTTTGATAATGCCAGTTCTAAAAAAAACCATTTTAACAATCTACATAGCCATTTTCTTTTCATAATTACTAAAAAAAAGTAACATATAAATAAATTAAAATTTACATAGTGAAGTGACAAGAAGTACCGTAAAAACTGAGATCACAGCAACTGAAAAGGTTAAATGATTACAAAACATTCAGTCATCGCTTGGATAGCCTTTCCATTAACGTAGTGACCAACAAAATAGCTAACACTTGATGTTAAGTGTTAATAAAGTGGGATTGGTCAATGCGCAATCCAATTTAATATAGAGACCTATAGCAACAGTTCTCAAACTTCAGTAACCCGAGGACCCATTTTAATTTAAATATTTTTCGCGGACTCCCAAACCTATGGATGTTTTTAGTTTTAAAAAACAAAACAACATTCCGTATACATGAAAAGCCGTATTGGAAAACTGTTTTTATTCATATAAATCTAATATTACAAAAAAATATTTTTTATTCTATGAATCATATTTTAAATAATATTTTTACGAACATTTGAGCATGACTCGCAGACCTCAGTTTGAGAAACGCTGATCTAGAGAATCAGTAGTCATTTCATTGAAGCCTATTCTCTATGCTGGTGCCATCTAGTAGTATTAATATACTTAAAACTGACTCTCAATTAACATTCGGTACAAAATCCTCAAATTAACACCAATCAGAAACATCAGACAACAACCTTCACGTGAAAAGTAAACGAAATATATATGTAAAAAACACACGAAATAACTGACTAAAATATGCTTGTATAAATATTAATTTATTTATGATTAAATAATATGAAGAAAACTGGTTAACTGTAAGACACCCTTTTCAGTATGTATCATCGCAAGGCATTTTAGAAACATAAATGTCAAAATATGAAATGAACATCAGACACCCATGAAAAATATTACATTGTTTATTAATAATTCATGACTTTTTCAACAGAATATGCCATCTATTTTAAATAATATTTTTACGAAATATTTTGCCAATATTTCATGTATCTCATATATTTTATAATAGAATAATTGAAACTGAAAGGTTATATTTTGAAATAAATATAAATTTATTATAATAAATTTAAATGCTTAAGTAACGAATTTGCTCCCTGAAATACCCACACATATGTACTACAAAAGTATCTTAATGATTATATTTTGTAGCACTCATTCTGTACTGTTTTTGCAGTTTGATGGCGCCGTAGTAGTGGATTTTTTAGATTTTTTTTACTGTCTGTGTCATCATTATGAATTAGTGTTCCGTATCCGTAGTAAATTAACATTTCCTAACAAAAAAAAAAATAATTATAAGTCACTTGGAATGCGTGAAAGCCAAATATATTTGAGAAAACGTTTTGAAAGTTAATTTCAAGAAAGTACATAAGTTACAAGTAAGATAATACCTAAGCCTAACAACGAGTCTTTATTAATCATTCTACTACTAATAGTAGTAGTACTACTGATAGTGCTACCTCCGTGTCAGTCGCTAGTTTAGTAATACTAATACTAACACTTAAAAGTTACAGTTAGTACTACCTTTAAATATTGGCAGCTACCACTGTTTTAATCTAAATTCATCTTCTAGTCTAAGGTAACGTTATTAATGGTAAATTAGTATTGTCTCTATATGTATTACTATTGTTTTGATGATGTGATTGTGAATACCACTACCACCAACTGAAAATGTAATAATACTTGTACAGTTTTTAAGATTAAATAGCTTTGTTGTCAAGTTGATTTTTATTTTCCCTGTGTTATTGTCTACTTTTTTTTCTATATCCATAAAATTCAGACGAATTAATTATTTATATTTGTAGACAGTCACATACTTTTAACTCTCCAGAATCATAAAAGAATAGGGATAAAATAATAAATATTGCTCGTGGGGTGTTGATATCAATGTATGTATTTTCTTTGTTATTAACAGAAATGTTATGTGTTAAATTAGTACCACTAGATTGATTAATTTTTTTTTAGTGAAAGATGGTGGTAGAATTAACTCTTGAAATTTGATATACTACAGTTCCATGTTGTTGTTTTTTTTAAATTCATATTACCAATAACTTTTATAAAAATTGGGAATATTGTTTTTGTACAATGGTCATTATTTACATTTTCCTCACTTAGATTTGTACATGTTTGTGCCTTTTTTTAAAATAAAGGATATTTAGACCTATCTATCGTAGGAGTTTTCAAAATACTAAGGAATCCACTTCATAAAATGTACCTAATGGAGAAAGGAGCTTGTAGTATTCCTATTTAATTAAGTTGTATGAAAACTATAAAAATTACATGAAAAAATAGTGGATTCTGGACTGGTTGCCCTACAAGTTATAACTGCTTGTTAACATATTGAGATAATTGGATTATTTTTTTATCAGCCTATTATTACCAGAGGGAAGTCTAGGTACAATATAAGGGAAAACATGTTTGAGGCATGTGCAATTAAAAATGCTTTAATCAGATATAACTATTTTGATTTTACAGATCGTGACCAAAAGTCATACTTTCATCCCACTGATTT